AAACCAGAACTGGACACAGTACTCCAGCAGTGGTCACAGCAGTGCCAAATACAGAGTTAAAATAACCTCTCTACTCCTACTAAAGATTCTCTTGTTTGTACAGCCCAAGATCGCATTTGCTCTCTGGGCCACATCACACTGGGAGCTCATGTTCAGCTTATCCACCATGACATGATCCATCATATCTTTTTGAGAGTCACTGCTTCCTAGAACAGAGACCCCCCTCCCCCCCCCATCCCTCCAAGTATGGCCTACATTCTTTGTTCCTAGATGTATACGTTTACATTTAGCCATATTACAACACATATTATTTGCTTCCGCCCAGTTTACCAAGTGATCCAGATTGCTCTGAATCAGTGATCTCTGTCCTCTTCATTATTTGCCACTCCCACAATTTTTGAGTCATCTGCAAACTTTTTCAGTGATGACAGTAGGGAAAAGAAAATCAACCTTAAATAGCAGTCTTATTGTTTCGTAGGACTTGTCTACACAAACGATTACATACACCATGGAAAACTGCCATAGTCTAACTATTCACATACACCATGGTGACACGTTAACCATTAATTAGAGCACTTTGATCTAGTCCTTTCTGAAACAGAACTAGCTCAAAGTGCTCTAGCAAACTGTTAACACATGGCAGGATATACCCAGCTAGAGCTGGATAGTTTCACACCCTATCATGCCATGGTCTGGTTGTTAGTGTACCCAAGCCCTTAGATTTCTACTGGCTAAAATATGGAAAGGATAATAAACAGCACTTTGATTATGCATTAGTTCAGCTATACAGTTTGGACATGGAAAGATAGTTTCTCAACAGAAACTTTTCTGCAGTAAAACTATCCAAGTTATAAAGGTCCCAGAACAAACTCTCAAGAGACCTCTTTGTAACCATTAAATGTAATGGGTAAGAGCTCTTAAGAGCGTGTGTCTTGTAGGTTTGAAGAATCCTCCCCATTAATCAATATTTAATTATTAGTTTAGCCATTTTAATCAGAAAGCAAAGGCATAGCAATTCCTTTTGTTTTAGTATTTTGTTTCTGACATAAGTTACTGAAGAAGCATCAGTTTTACTGGAGATGGTCTTTTGCCTCATTCAATATTTCTACAGAATTCTAAATGCTCTCTTAAGGTTTAGTAATCATATTAAAGGCTCCAGCAATGCTGCTTAGTTTAATCCATAATTCATATGGCTAAAGGTAAAGCACAATGTGTGTTCTGGAATTCAAAAACACAACATCAGAAAGCTCGAGAAACCAAACCCCAGAAAATGGCAGTACAAACCCCACCCCCTAAAAACCCTGTCTCTATTATTGTAGTAAACTTAGACGTGCCCCAGTAAAACTCTTCGCTGGTTTAAGTAGGACTGCTGTATGCCCAGAAGTTATCAGAAACATGCCTCTCTAACATTTTCCTCAGAAAACTATACTTGTGCTTAACTAGACTGAATATAATCTAAACCAAACATCTAAAAAGGCTGAGAATTTTATGACCTATTTTAAACTTTCTCTTTTTGTACTACAAAAATCAGTAGAGCACTAGTCAATTCATGCTAACACATCATAAAAAGTCCAAAGTTTTAAAAAAATAGAACACTGAAGAAAACATGAAACAATATGCAGAGACTGGGCTTTTGATACTAGAATACAGTGCTAAGAAGTTAGATAAGGGATTCTAAAGTCTTAAATCTCACATTCTAATAATCTGGATCAGAATCTTCAGTCTACTAGAAAACTCTAAGGACTGGCTCCCCAATAGCCTTGATAATTGGGACACTAATATCAGAATATGAGGAGAGGGGAGACATCAGAATGAAAACTAGTGACTGATCATATGATTTGAAAGTGAGACAGAGAGGCCTAGAATTCTACTGCATTTCAGTTGGAATGATAGTAAAAGATGTATGAAAATCAAAGGAGAAAAGACTGATTTTAAAAAGGAAGCATTTTTATTACAAAATCATTTTCCATTTTCAATGGATTTTTGTTTTGGTAACATAGCCAGTAATTTAATCAAATGGACATTGATCAACCCTTAGAGATCAGATAAATGATCACACTTTTAATAATTTGAGACACTGCATCATTGAGAATGCATTATCTTGAAGATGACAGTGTAACTCAATGCTTCTTCCTTTGGCAAAAAAGACTACAGCTTATGCTTTACCATGTTTGCATTCACGTGTATTTATTGACATTCTTTATGGAAAAAAGTACTAGAGTATTCTAAATAATGGTCCAAAACTGTGATTTATCCAACATGTTACTGCCATGTTTTGAGGTATTACTGTAGAATACTATAATAATTATTTTTAGTAAAATGACCTCAGACCCATTGATTTGGTACAATGTACTATATCCTAACACTCAATGGAAAATGAATTCATAACACTGGACTTTCACTCTCATTTAGAAGTACACTGAAAATATTTCAAATTTGTTTTCTTTCATCTTGCCAACTCATTTGTGAATATTGGAAACAATCGTATTTGTGTTAAATCAGTTCACATCCACTACTATTCTCAATATAGATTTGATTAAATCATTGCAATTTGAAAGAGTTTCCTAAACAAACATCAAATCACTTTTAACTGGTAGATACAGGCCCATGTTTGAAAAACTGGCTTTTAATTTCCAGGCCACAAATGATAGTTTAAATTTCTATCATCTTGCACCTACAAAATAATAGTTAGAAGGTAGAATGAATGTACAGTTATTCCTTTTCACAATTAATTGTAGGTAGAAAACCAGAGACTATGCTGAGACATCTGAGTCTGGCCAATAATTTAATATTTTTAATTTCAAAATACAGTTTACTGTGAAGTTTACCACTTTCCTCTTGGCTGGGAACATTTTAATTAAGAGATGTCTTGACAATTAAACTTAGAATTCATATAAGGTTTTATATTTACAAAGTAAACTACAAACATTTTGGTTGAAAGTATTCTTCTTGTACCAAGAAAGAAAAATTAACCTTGCTGATTTCTACATATAAAAATAGCAATTTGTAACTTTAAAAAGAAGAATTAGTGAGGTTGCAGGGTTTTATTCTAAACTTATCTAGATTTTCATATTGTTACCAGAGTAACTCGTATCTAAATGCAAATATAACCTGCAAGATATACCACTCAAAATTACAAGGACACATTATGTGAGCAAATAAATAATACACAAGAGATGAAAATAATAAAGGATCTATAAAGCATTTGTCGGAAATATCAACACAAAGGACTACCTTAGCATATTAGACCACTACACATCATCTATTGCCGTATTCTGACTCAGAGCAGTGGCCAATATCTTGTGAAGGTAACTCTCTCCCACCATCAATAATTCACCCAACCAGGTGTTCAATGATAAACATTGCGGGGACGGAGGGGAAATTCTTTTCTGCCCACCACCGGCGAGCAGTTTATACCCTGAAGCATGAGATTGGATTAGCTTTATTGTTATTTTATCTAGCATAGCTACAAATGTTATTAATGTCCAGAACATTATCCAGTTCTTTGTAAAAATCCAGCCATCATGTTTATCTCAATAGCTTCCTGCTGCGGTGAGTTCTATGCAAAGTCTGGATATCTGTTTTCTAACTAAAGGATTTCATTCTTCGATTGGCATGCATGTAAAGACAAACAATTACAGGCCTTTTCTCCCACTGATGTGCAGAAGATTTATGCACAGAATTAGCATTAATGGGAGTTTGGTATGTAAATCCTCCTCCCACTGGTGCCAAAATAGACCTCTTATAGAATGTCTTCACAGAGAATTACATTTAGTAAATAGCTCATATTTCTTACCTGTATGGTAAAATGTGAGAAAAAACAAAAGCACTCCCATAAACATGTTACTCAAAAAGGTGACAACACCACACGTAATTCCTTCTGGAACAGGGTAGAACGTCTCCACAAAAAGCTCAAAGAATATAGGTATGCTACTATTCAGGAATACTCCGAGCAAGATACAGGATGTGTATAGTGTAGCTACAACAAAAAACAAAAACAGTGGGTTAGTTTCATAGTAGCATTTTGCTATCATATTTCAAACAAAAGATGCCCAGGATATTCATGCTTAAGTAACTGGAAGACAAAGGAGAATCAGACCTATTTTTACCTCTGTGCATCATATAGTGTATAATGTCTCTCTGTTAGCAGTCAGCATTTATTTTTGGTTTGATCATTTCAGCAATTTTTATTTGAATACCAACTGAATTCCTGAAGATACACTGAGTGATTTGGAGTATATTTGCCAAATATCAGAAAACAGAAAACATTGGAAAAAATATTTATGCAAAGAGACATCTAGGTTGAGTTACCTCCAAAGTGAACAATAACTGTTTTATACTCAATTAGAGCAGAAACAATTACTTAACTGAATCAGAAATGAACTGGAAATTAACATTTTGACTCTCAGTTCCAAAGGTCAGAACTAATTTTTGTTTTCACTTTCCAGACAAATACTACTAATGATCTACCAGATACCAAGGCACTGCAGGATTAGCCTCTTGTTCAGTGGTTTTCAAACTTTTGTACTGGTGACCCCTTTCACATAGCAAGCCTCTGAGTGAGAACCCCCCTTATAAATTAAAACACTGTTTTGTATATTTAGCACCATTATAAATGCTGGAAGCAAAACAGGGTTTGGGGTGGAGGCAGACAGCTCACGACCCCCCATGTAATAACCTCACAACCCCTTGAGGGGCCCTGACCTCCAGTTTGAGAAAGCCTGCTCTAGTTGAAAGAGTAGGTTATTAGTCATTGCAGGACTCTGATTTTTCATCCTGGATGCATAATATTAGAACATGGCAATTTCTTTAATTGGCTGGGGTATTTTGTTCTGTGACTTCTGATGTCACCGCACTTCTTCCAGTTTCATGCTAGTATAGATATTTTAGCTAGGAAATCTAGATTTTCTAAAGCTATGCAGAAATAAAACATTTTTCTTTTCATTCAGTAACTCTAAGGATCCAAATCAAGAAAGCACTGATTTCAATGGGACTTAGTCGTGTTTAAGAGCAGTCCTGAATAATGATGGTTTTCTGAACTGGAGCCTCAGTGACATGAAGAGACCTATCAAAGGAAAAGCAAATATGTAAGGGAAAGAATTAGCTAGAAGAAATATTGAGACTGAAAAGAACAAATAAAATGTCTAGAATATTTCTTGGCGGTTCTGTAAGAGCTCCGGTGATATGAAAAGAAACATCCTTGGGATGCAAAAAGTCACCCAATTGCTAGGAAAAGATTTCAAATTTTAAAGTATCTTTACCCTGTGCTGTAGCAGAAGGATGATATATGAAAACTGAAACTATACTACATTAAAAAATCCATCATGGAAAGTGGAGAATTGAGAAAGCTGTACTTCATCTTAAATTAACCATTGCTCAATTTCTCAGCTGAGAAGTTGTTAGTAAGCAGGAGACTTGGCTTAAAAAAATTCACCATTTGTCAAAATATGAGGTATAATGAAAGGCAGAAAACAAGGCCTTAGGAGATACAGTAGAAATGCCTATTCATCAGCTCAATCATTTGATGCGGTTCTGCCAAAACACAGACACGTTTTGGCAGAACACAAATTCCAGGGATTTTGCCTGGAAAAGGAGAAGGAGGAGGGGAGCAGAAAAAGCTGCCAGGAATATGATATAGTGGCAAAACTTTGGAAGGGGACTGATCAGGCTGGCCTCTATATGTTTTTAAAAGGCCTGGATGTCACTGTCTCTCTCTCTCTCTCAGAAACCGTAAAAGCTTTTCCAGCTCCTGTAAATTCTTTTATAACCAGCTGGAGGATGAAAGTCAGAGGAACTGTTCCAAGATAAGTTCAGAGTTCTCAAAGAGTGAGAACAAAATTTAGTATCCTGACGCCAACAGGCTCTTGTATCTGAAATTGAATGAGTAATTCCGCTGCCATGATATCCACAGAATCTGCTGCAAGCTCTCATTGATATTTTGAAGTTAGTAAATCTCTCGCACAAGTCCTGGTTCCATCCAGTAGCACAGACTCTTGCTTTAATCCCTGTTAAATAAGCAGCCATCAATGATTCAGTTTTCTAATTTGTAGCTAACTATTTTAATCTTTTTTGATACCAGCAAAAAGGGATCTGGTGGTGGCTTTTAAAGCTGCAATATCAGAATAGAAACCAACAGGTCTTTTCTCCCCCAAAAATTCAGCTGGATAAATCTATCGACACCTATTTAGAATTAAAGTGAGATTCTCTAGTACTTTCCAAAGGGAAAATATATAAGGAACTAGTAACTATTGGGAAGAACTTCAGATGGCGAAAATACATTAACCATACCGTTTTTGAGAAATTTTGCCCCAAATTTTAAATACTTGTAATTTAGCCAACCAGTTCTCATGAACTTTGAGAACTGTGTTCCTACAGTGCAGCTTGTTCTACACTACACACTTACTTCAGTCTAACTATGTCACTCAGGGATGTGAAAAATCCACACCTTGAGTGACATAGTTATACCAACTTTAACACGGACCCCCAGCCCTCCTGTGTAGACAGCACTATGTTGGCAGGAGAGCTTCTCCTGCTGACATTACTACTGCCTCTCACTGAAGTGGAGCTATTAAGCTGATGGGAGAGCTCTCTCCTGACGGCTTAGAGCATCCTCACCAGACACACTATAGTGGTGCAGCTGCGCCAATGTAAATTTGTAATGTAGACCTGCCCTAAATCTCAAACAACTCTCAGATGGAAAAGAAATCAATCATTGCTAACTGAATAGTGAGCACCAGTGTTGAACACTAAGGCACAAGCTACATGACTTGGGAGGCTCTAATATAATCAGGTTTGCTCCAGGACAAGCTGTACATCTCCAGCAGAGGACCGAATGAGTTTGCTATAGTGAGTTCCTATGAAATTACAAAAGGTCCTAATGCTGATTCTGCTGGAGAAAAGGATGGCATGGTAAAGTAACTAAGATAGTCCCTGAGTTTGGAGGCAAAAAGCTTCAGCTCCTCTCATAAGCACCTGGTGAGATGGAGTTGTCTACAGAATTTTCCAAATAGCACCTTCTTATTCAACTAATCTAGATCCTGTATGTTTTCCAAGTCACTTTTGTTTGCTTTAGTGACAAACACACATTTTTATATTACAGTGAGCAATGCAGAGTCAGCATGTCACCTTGAAAGACATTTACCCTCAATCACCACAGCATTAGCCAAGATACTGGTGTATTTCATTATCAGAGTAGATAGCATTGCATTTTCCTATTCCAGTGGCCTATCTAAGTAGGAACTTACGTGGCCCTCATTGCAGCAGTAACTGTAGGGAAATGCTGCAGTATTTCAACATGCCATCATTTGGTATCTCTGAAAATTATAAGTACTTTAATGCTGGCAACCACCACATAGAAGTGCAAAGTGGATTCTTCTCTGCCTCATTCACCCAATACCAAAAAGTGTCAGCTGTACTGACTTCAGAATCTTTACTGCTGTGAAAAATAGTTATAGATAAGACTGCGAGTCTGTCATGGAGGTCACAGAAGTCATGGATTCTGTGACTTTCCGGGACTTCCAGGACTTCTGCAGCGGCCAGTGCGGCTGGCCTGGGGGCCACCTGAGCAGCTCAGGCGCACTGACCACTGCTGGGCCAGTCTCAGGCCACCGCACCCCTTTCCCCCCAGCAGGAGTTTGGGCATGGGAGGGGGCTCAGGACTGATGCAAGGGGTTGGGCTTGGGGTGTGGGAGGGGGTGAGGGCGCTGGGTGGCATTTACTGCGGGTGGGGGGACAGGCTCCTAGGCAGAGGCGTGGCCAGGCAGCTCTGCGCACTGCCTCTGCCTGCAGGCACTGCCCCCGCAGCTACTATTGGCTGCAGTTCCTGGCCAATGGGAGCTGCGGAGCAGGCGCTTGGGGCAGGGGCAGCACGCGGAGCCCCCCCCTTGTCGCTCCTCCAAATCCGTCTAGGTAGGGGCCGCAGGGACATGCCGGCTGCTTCCAGGAGCTGCGTGGAGCCGGGTAGGGAGCCTGCCAGCCCCGTCAGCCTCCCACTTCTTCCCCCAGCAGCAGTGGCTCCCCCAGGCCACCCCCTGCTCCAGAGCCCCCGCGGTGCCCCAAGTTTTAGTCGGGTGTACGGTAGAAGTCATGGACAGGTCACGGGCCATGAATTTTTGTTTACTGCCCGTGACCTGTCCATGACTTTTACTAAAAATACCCGTGACTAAAACATAGCCTTTGTTATAGATCATATTTATATATACCCTCTTCAATCACAAAGCTCTTGGGACACTGCATAAACACTTAAAATATAACATATTATAAAACACATGCACTTTAAAATCTAAAAAAATATTTAAAAAGCCAAAGCAACTGGATCAATGTTAAAGGCAGAAAGAACAGGGCGTGTTGTAGATCCCAGGATGAATTTACAGGATTTGCAGTAAGAAAATATATCTTTTAACTTGTGAACTAAGAAAAAATGGATGTGGAAATGACAGTATTAAAAATCTGGAAGCCTCCAATAATATATGTATAATCACGTCTCTAACTGTAACCACACTTTAATGACAACATTTCCATGTTATGGTAGTATAAAGCATCTAAAACGCCTGAGTGCTGTAAATATAATAAATAATTTTACTGCATCAATTCAGTGTTTAAAAGTAACAAATCCAATTTGGTCAACTACATAGAAAGTCATAAATAAAATATACAGTGCAAGAAAAATTTATTGGAAGAAGTCAGATAAATGGTAGTCCAGAAGTGGGTTTGGCCTTTTATTTAACCTACTGTAGTGAGTACAGTACCTAAAATACCAGCTCAAGGGGTGACAAAGCTACTATGGCAGAGTGAGTGCCAGCTATTAAATGGAGTCCATTTACTTCTCATAACAGGACTTCAGACTGCATGATCATTAAAGAGTCCCATGATTTCTTTTATAGTTTAAAAGAACTGATGTTAAAATTACACTAAATGCTTTTTTAATTAAGAAACTCTGACTACCATCAATGGTGCAGAATGTAGACAAGTGCAAGTACC